TCTGAGAGCTTGTAAGGTTAAAGAAATTATCTGGGCCGAAAGAGCATGGTCTGACATTGCTTAGTTTACAGTTTTGTTTGAAAAGCCAACATTTTTCAGTCCCTTATAAATCATGTTGAACATTTGGAGCTGATACATGTGCCTGGTATGTTGTGACAGTTACACTTACTGTCACCAGTCTGCAGGACGACGACCCAGGAAGAGCACTAAGTATGCCTTCATGCCGTGTCCTCGGAGAACAGTCCTAGGGTGGTTTATAAGTATGCTGCTTGCTTTTTTCTAGGGAGTTCAGGGGTTTTAAGACATCATCTTAGTCTCATAATGACCTTCACATGGAATAGGCAATTTCCTATAGTCAACAGATGTCAGAAGAAAGATATTTTTAAATTGCATCATTTTGTACCAAAAAAAGAAAGTAAAACAGGGTGCATATCTAGAACTCCAGTGAGTAAAGTTTGAAGGTGGAGGGTGAGAGGTTTGGAATTTTTCAGAGTTGAGTACAGAAGAGGAGCAGCTTTAAAAGAAAGTGGGGGGCCTAAGAGAGACAACACAGGATGACCCACCCTGCCCACCTCCCCACTCCTTTGGGGAGGAGGAGAATGACCATGGACTTAGGAGAAACATAAGAAAGAACAGTTTATTTACCTTCTTCTTCTCATTCCCCTGTCAAATAGTTAAACCTGAAGCCATCTTGACACATTTTTTCTTTCTTTTAAAGTGTAATTAGGTGTTTCCATCCTCTGCTCGCCGGAGGAAATGCTGAGGATATCTTTCACCTTACTGCATGTTGTGTATCTCTGTTTCAGTGAGTGGCTGATGTCTCCAAGTTCCTTGCCCCCCGATCAGATCAGGTCACTGAACCCATTGTAATTCTGAGATCCCTGGAATTACAGTGGAGTAAGGAGTTCTTACTAATAAATTCAAAGAATTACTTTTTTTCCCTTATGTCCCCCACTTGTTGAAAACTCCCAATGAATTCACACCCCTTACCTTTTCTCCTAATGCTTATACTGCCTCTGTTAAATACCAGACTTGAACTACAGTGAGTTTTTATCCTTTTCTCATTTACTTTTGCTTTTACCCTATCTTTGTTAGGTAACCTTTTTGTGCATTTTTAATTTTCTAGTTTTACTGCCTCAGGGACTCTGTTAAAAACTGCAAGATGTGAAAGGGGGAAGAGCTATGCTAAGCTGCAGCTATGAACATGGGTTTATTTCCGTTGTCAATCATGAGCTTTTGCTCTTCTCAGCCGCCAGTTCTCTGCGCAGCTGCTGAGGAAGTGATGGAAGTAGACAGGGACTTGCAGTGAACAAGAGATTGAGGGGGAGATGGTTGAGCAGAAAGCTGCCTTTTGTCACCTATTTGGAAATCTAACAGAATGTTAGACTATGTTTATCAAAAGTTAAAAAAAAATCCAACATTCCAAGGGTTAATTCACACTTAGGTTCTCTCTGTTTTTTAGCAAATGGAACTGTGATTGGAATAGTTGGGGAGGAAAATTCACAAGAAGACTATTCCTGAAAGTATGAATGCCCAGGGAACAGCAGGAAAAGGCCATGGGGGCCTACCCACCCTATGGTGTCAGAAAAGTCTGGGACCCTGAATTTCATCAGAGACATACTGAAAAAAGAAACTGCTTCTGCTCCATCTCTTGTTTTGGAGATGACTCCATCTGTCCATCAAAAAAAAAAAAAAAAAAACAAAACTGTAAATATGAACCAACAAAGATATTTCCTAGAGAAGAGACCATTTATTTGTTCAACACCAACAGGAGACTCTCATCATATGGGCACAGCAGTGGTGTCCTTTCTGTGGACAAAACCTCAAGTAAATGTTTTATTCTGCCTTTGAAAATGCTTCCAGAAGTAGACCCACATAGGTCAAGACTACAGAAAGGCTTTGTAGAAATGTGTCATTTAATGTACACCTGCTACTTATACATTTCCTCTTTTGGAAAAATGAGATACTAATGATAACAAAATTAAGACATAGACATACTTGCCTGGTGCTAGCAGATGGCTTTTCTATAGATAAACTAGGTTAGTGTGGAAGATACAGGTTAAAATAAAATATGCTCTCTTATTTATCTTCCCAATCTGGTTGGCAGCTACACTTTTTTGGGGTCTTATTGAATGGCCCTATTTTTTCATTATTATATTTAATGACAGGGCAGGATTTAAAGACCGTACACAAAGTCTTCTGTGTCTCAGGCTGCCTGCAGAAAAAGTCACTAAATTATCTGCTGTCTACGTGGTACAAGGCCCATTGACTCATCTGATACCTGTTGTGCTAATTTCTTTAATATTTTTTATCACAAGGGTGGTGGGAGGGCTGGAGCCTTTAGCCACAGGTATTTCAAGATTTCTCATCTCCTGCCCTGCAGAAGGTGGGAATTTTTGAATTTTTACATTTGCATTCCCACTTGAATGTTATGAAAACATTCCTTCAAAGCTCTATCTGTGCTACAAAAAATATGCCAGAACCTCATAGACAAAGCCATTGCTAGAAATGTCATTCCGATGTCAAATCTGGATAACAGGCTGCCATAACCACATTTCCTTCCTGCAGACTCAGCTCACCTGTATATTATAAATTGTTCTTGGCATCTTGAAACACCAGTTTCTACTCAGGTATTCATTTTCCTGTTAGTGTTCCATCTTTCTGATCTTTTTAAACCAGTTTTCCCCCCAAGGTGGGGGGGGAGAATTTCACTTAACTTCTAGTACCTGCAGAACTTTCAATATTTGATTTGTTTCCCTAATTGCTTTTACCTATGTTGTATTCTTGGTCATCTCAAATGGCCTCTAAACCCAGCTACTTTTCCATTCCAGAAGTCTCCATTCCTTGCAGTTCTACCTAATTTTGGGTTTATGGTCCTAGCTGCTGTCCTTTTCTTCTTAATGTGTTATTTCACTTGCTTTGGGCGCTTAAAAGATGTTACCAAACCTAATTTCTGGTTCCAGTCTTGGAGCCATAGTTACCCAGTCAAGACGAGTAGAAAATGGGTTTCAACTCCTGTTTCATTCCACTACCAACACCTCCGTGAGCCTCATCATCAGCTAAGAGATGATGCCTTACAGGTTGCATAGCACTGGAACTTTCCTAGAGTAATGGCTCTAATGTCAGGGTTTTTCTGGGCTCATTTTCCACTGACTTAATTATGATCTATGCCTAACAGAGCCCCAGTACAACTATTTTGCAGAATGGCTGTTACCCTAGAGTGACTATAGCACATATTGAGACATAGTTGTACTCCCTAGTAGATAGGAACTGACCCTAACAATAAACTTTGATAATAAAGACAATAGGCTATGGTGGCTTTATTTACTTACCTCTTAGCTTTGTGAAAAGTTACATTTTAAGCTATTATCTACATTATTGTTATTGTCCATCCAGTTTGGTATCAGTTGCTCATGGGATGCAACATAAGTAATGTTGGTGTCTTTGAGACAAAGAGGAAAAAAATGCACGTGGTTTTGTGGGCTTTTACAATGAGGGAAGTCTGGCATAAATAGCTCTTTTCCTTAGTTATGTTCTGGGTGCTTTCGGGAATGGTACGTTAACCAGAATCACATGAAGGAAATCCACCAACGGGTATGAATGAAAACAAGCGAAAACATGCTAACAAGCTGATGGATAGAGAAGAGAATCCTGCTTTCATAAATTTAAAAGGAAAGCATGATGAACCCATTATCTTTTTGTTATTTATGTGCTTTTAGTAAAATTAGTCCTGGTAATATACTGTGACCATAGACTTAAAAGTAGTAGTCTATTCTCCAAAAATAATCTGAACTTTTTTTCCTTTTCAAAGCATCAGAATTAAATGCTGACCCAATTTGTTGACCATAAGTCTGACTCTTCACACTGAGATTCCTAACCCTTCTTTCCTCCCCAAGGCATTTGTATGAGTCAAAGATCTGATAGGGCCCAGGCATTTATCTGTGGTTAAAAGAGAGTAGTCATTCAGAGATAATTTGTGAAATTTGTGAACATCCCAGTCACTTCAGGCAACGAAAAGGAGAAGTATTTAAGGAAGTTTGTGCTTGGCTGATCACAGCAGTGGGTGGGAAAGGTAAAAACAATATGCTAGGCTGGCCCTGGGCCTGTCTGGTAAAGGCAGGCCTTACCACACCTGGTTTTGTACAATGATACACCTGTTGCTAGAGGACAATTCCTTAAATTGCTGCAGGAAAAATAAGCTTTACTCTTAAGCTGGAAAATTATCTAGTTTCTAACAGTTTTCCTCATGATTTCCTAATTCTAAGAGAGACTGCACTCAGGGTGGATCTCCGCAACTGGCAGTGATGTCAGAGATGGTGCCCAGCCTTTGGTGGGACAGAGTCCCAATCTCAGGGGCTCTCGAAAATCCTATTGCTCTTTCTACTTTCCTGCCCCACCCTCAATCCCATCTCCCCACTTTAGAAAATGCTTTCTTAACAAAAACTGACACAGATCTTATTTTAGAATATAGACCTGAACTCCAAGACAAAAGGAGCCTCTTCCATCTGTGGTCCTACCGGGTGGGTAAGTGACTAGGAATTTAGGCCAGGTCCTACAGGGTAGTAAGGAATTTCCCTGTTTGCAGTTTCCTTTGTGCCACAAAGGCCCCTATAGCACTTGCCACTGGGCAACAAGACACAGTCGTGAAATTTAACACATTTGCTGGCCAGCATTAAGGTATAGGGAGTCCAAAACAAAGCCACTATGTCCATTTAAGTATCAGCTCAAATTCTTCCAAACCCAAAAAATTCTTAAATATTATCTCATGCAAGGCACTAAATGGTTTGTACCAAGAACTGAAACTAAGCTGTTGATTTTTTAAAGTCTTAATCTACACATCACAAATGAAAGAAAGGGCACACCTTAACTGGAACCTGCTTTTTAGTTTTTCTTACCTAGTACATTCCTTTGAAAAGTTGCTGCCAAGATCTTATGAAGGTTTTCGTATTTCTAAGGAAGGCAGTATTCCTTATATGTTTACTCTAATAAACAACAAAAAGTTTTCTCCCAAAAGGTTTATTTGTCACATTTAAAGTACGAAATCAAATACACATCCAGATATGTGAACTATATATACACAAATCAATACACCTTGTATTTAGACATACACAAACCCCTCCACACAGTTTAATTTATCCATCAATGCTATTCTTGAGCAAAAAGCAAAGTATCTCTGAAAAACAAAGTTGGTTATCAGTAATACTGTCAAATGAAAATTATTTTCACTTTATCACTTAAAAGGGTAGAAATAGATTATTTCATAGGAATAATCACCAAGCATAAGTCCATTTGGTATAGATTTCTCACAATACATTCTATAAAAATAATAGGTGAACCTGCCAATCAAAGACTTGGAATATATTAACTCTAAAAAAAACTTAAAAGACGTTTTATAAGGCTAATTGCATTCAAAGGGTTCGGTTTGGTTTTACATGCAAGGAAAAGACTTTATGTTGTGTAACAATACAACCTTTCTAAGTCATATTTTCTATGGAGTTATAATGAATTTTTCAGGGGCCTACCTATAGTTGTTAAAAATTAACTGTCATTAAGGGAGTTATCTGATTTTTAACACTGTATTATGTTATTTCATTTAAAATGCAAGAGCACAGTTCTTCAGAAGATAGGCAGAAATTTTAGACTTTTAGATATAAAATATATGATGTCACTGAACACCCAGAAGTCCTGTGGTCATGGGGATGAAGTTCTAACAGCACCCTTGTTCTAGGACGTCATCTATCTTCCATGCAGACTACAGGACACACCCTCAGATGCCTAAACACCTCCACACCAGGCACATAACCACATCAGTGCCTGCTCCCATAAGTGGAGCACATATATACAGTGATATGGGTCATTATCAAAATCAGATGTATGTCAATGGCTTCACAGTAGCAACACAATGTACTGGATGTCACATTTCCATAGGAAAGGTTACATATACACTATACACTTCAGCCTTGAAATGTGGACCCCCAAAAATTCAATTTTCAGTAAGCAATAAATTTGGTGAGGGCCCCATGCCCTCGGATCCGAATTTAGCACAGCAGAAGCCCCTCCTTGGTTGCCAAGCGCTGGCGGTGGACTTTGTCTTGCTGCAGCTCTTCGTGGTTTGGATGCCAGAGTTTCGTGATGACCCTCTCGATGTTAAGGGCATATACAGTATGTGTGGGAATGACTTCCCTGTGTACCTGGGTTAAAAAATTAGCACGGTTCCAATTATACTTTGGTAGACTTCTTTTTCCAGGATATAAAAGTAGTATTTATGTCAACAAAACACTCATATAACAGACACAAAATCTAATGAACCCCAAACCAAATACTAAGAAAACAAGGAATAACAAGGTTCTAAACTAGGTATAAGGGAGCAAAGTGATTTTTTTTCTTTTATCAAGAAAGTAAAAGGGGAGGTAGATTAGGAAGAATTCCTGGGCTCAGGATTTGAACCAAGAGGCGAATATTAATGGCTTTAGTAACATTAAAAACTAAAAAACACTAAACCAAGAAGTGGAAAAAAACTAATGATTATCTTTGCAGACTTGAAGAATTTTTCTTTGAAGAATCTTTTAGCCTACTCATAAATCTTTAAGGAGCCAAGAATTACCTGCAAGGCTTCAAAAAGGTCGTACATGTTCACAGGAGGCAAGGAGGCAGGCAGCGTGTCCCCAGCGCATGCCAGCAGGAGTGCAGCCTGCTGCTCAGCATCATCAGGGGGTGGATGCGAAGCTGGATTCTGACCAGCACAGGGAGCAGAAAAAGCTGGAGGGCTAAAAATAAAAATTTCAGAAACATTCCCAGCAGGGAAACAACTGAACAACCATAACAGAATAGGAGTAGCCTGCTAGAATCCTATTAAAAATCTCTTAAAATGAATCAAAAATCCATTCAAGATTTATCAGTATACACAGAATAGTCCGTAGTTTTAATTTTTAAAGGCAGCCCATCTATCAGGTTGGAAACAAAATACAATCACATTTACCCTCCTTCCTTCAAACTGTTAAAATACATACTTAGCGCAGGATACTGAACCAAAACTGTTTCTTGCCCTTAAAGAGCTTCCTGTTGAAAAAAATAATGGGCCTCAGACGAAAGAATATAAAAATGAAAACAAATAACTTGAAGAGGAAAGTGAATGGCACTGGAGACAACAGGTTCAAAAAGAGCAAGAAAAGACGACACAGCACAAAAGGAGTTAACAGGCAAGACTGGAGGGAAAAATTCATTCAGGTCTCGCCAGTTTCCAAAATCGTGCCCAGACACAATACAAGCTGAGAAGTCAAGCATGATCTTAACACATCGCAATACAGTAGGAGATAACCCATCCAGTTCTGAGAAACAAAGAAAGAAAGAGTGGGATTTAACTCAGAGGAAAGCACAGTGGACAAACATGGGATTGGAGCACCAGACAAAAGGAGCCCTGTTAAGAGCAACAAGCAGCCCACAGGGAGACAAAACCCTCACAGGGACTGGCCAGCAAGGAAGAGGGGCGAGTGTCCCTCCAGCGTCAGACACTGTTCCCAACATCACCCACTACAAGGAGCCACTTTATTCTTTTTGCTTGTTTTTCTCTAGAGAAGAATGATTTAAAAATGAGAACAAATAATCCCAGATATGCCTGAATGAGATTTATACAATCAATAACCATATATGACATCCAAACAGTGAGCCCAGTTTAAGGCGGTATTCTTCATATTGGGCACCCGTACAACCTCCTGTGAGTGGTGTCAGTGCTATATGCTGTGTCCAACTCTTTGCCCCATTTACAGACTGCCTGCCTGCCTTTCTTGTTACTGCCTCACCACCTTCACACCTGCCAGCCCTCCCAATTACAGTTCTTTCTCTGAATTTGTACTCCCCTGTTATTTCTTACCTTTCTTCTCCCTAACTAACCAGCAATCAGATGAAATTCAGTCTCTTCAGCAGCCATGAGGAAAACTGTATTGTTTGCTTTTCTTTCCCAAAGGCTTAAAATTCAGACTTAAGTAGGGCAGTGGGAGTGTAGGGGCGAGAAAGGGAAGTGGAAATGTGAGAAAGACAATACACGGATGAAGGTGATCTAAGGCTATCTCATAAAGGGGTGACTAGGGATATCAGCGGTCCTGGATCCCTCAATGGAGTTAGGACATAGGAATCTCAGAGACAAATGCAGACAGGTCTGTAAAACAGGACGCCAAAGCAATCTGATGACACCTGCCATGGGCCACTATCTTGAGCTACAGCTACAAGAACCACACGAGGACCTGTTGAATGATCCTCCCACCATCAAGAAACCCAGCCTTGGCACCTGTGGCTCAAAAGGGTAGGGTGCCAGTCCTATATCCTATATGCCAGAGGTGGCGGGTTCAAACCCAACCCTGGCCAAAAACTGCACAAAAAAAAGAAACCCAGCCTTGACCCAACATTCACAGGTCATGCTTCTGAGAGCAAAACCATGTCCCAAACAGGCAGGTGCTGCCTCTCTGAAGCCATGAGGGTGCACTGCCCAAAAGAATTATTCCATTCCACCTCAGAAGGCGAGGGGCAATCACATTAACCCCCAGGCTGCAGCCAACCTCTGGAACTTGACGTTGGATAAAAAGTACACCAAAATTTACTAGATAATCATGCAAGGATAGGATTTAAGAAATAAAATTAAACTGCTGTCAAAAGTACTTTAACCTATGAAAACAATAATCTAGTAGTGTAACCAATTGGCAAAGGATGGACAAGATCACAAGAAACTGCATTTACCTTTCTATTAAGTTGTTGTAAGCTACTACACTATTCTTCAGGTAAGGCTGTGGGGTCACATTACTACCAAAGGCATATTTAAAATGGCCATCTCGTAACCGATAAGCTTTCCTTCTTGACACAACTGATGTCAGTATATCTTTAAGGTGATTCTGTAAAAACAGAAAAGAAAAATAGCATGATTTTTCTCTTTAAAAACAAATTATAATATTTCCATTGACCAAAAAATGCTCATTAGCATTTAGATGGAGATGTGGAACAGGACAGCACAGTCTAGAACCAAAGGAATGTTCAAAAAAAGCCAAACCAGGGGAGTAGGAGGATAAAAGAAAGAGGAAGTATAGTCTTATTTTTATTTAGTTCTCTTTAATATGGGCTTTCTCTATATGAAATTTATTTTAAAAGTTTCTGCACCTCTACATTGGCTCCATTCTCTCAAAAGAGGAAAATTACTTTGAAATTTGGCTTAAAAATGGGAAAAATGCTTCAAAATCTGATGTTATTAGTTATAATACCAATCTACCAAAATCCTTGCATGAGAAAAAACTCGGCTCTCTCAAAAGCCAAATAAACTATAGATATGTAAGAAATAAACACACAAACAATTAGGTACTTAATTTCTGAGAGCGAAGAATGTACAAAAAGGTTGGGAAACATCTGCAATTAGCACTGTCTTACTATTATTAACAGGGAGCCAGGGTCGGGAAGGGTGTTTCACTGATATCAATGGGACCACCTTATATAAAGAAAACTTTTTACTGTTTACAATGGGTTTTTACCAGAATTCACTTAATGTTTATAACTTTGTCAGAGAGCTATTACCTCTGAGGTACAAATGAGAAAAGTGAGGCTCAGAAAATTGAAAGGAATTAACCAATGTTACCCAACAGTACCTGTTCACTGCAGCCCACAATGTGTTATTTGTTAAATAATTAAATGACTAAAATGAATGGATGAATGAAATTGTGTGCTGAGATAAGAATCCCCCTGTTCAGATGCCAAGTCTAATGCTGCAAACACGAGTAGCTTCAATCTTCAGGAGTCTCAATATCACTTCTTTCCTTACAAACTGTTCCCTTGTTGACAAATTAAAAATCACATCAAGCAGAAGTTTATGTCCTAAGTAACCTTTCTGAAAGCTTTGTCTACTGACTGAAAGCAAGTCGCTGGACTGAAAGGTGTTTCTCCTCTTAAAAGAAAACCATCTCAATGATGACAATCCTATGAAATCAAAGTGGCATAATGGTTCTTTTCTTGTAGTACCAACTTTAACAACACACAAGCTTCTTACAGTCAATCTGTAAAGTTATTTCTGCCAAGAGTAAACCAACCTCCACCGCATAGACAACAGCTGAAACAGCCTCCTCAGTGACGTTGTCCAGCCCATGCTCGTAAGCAGTCACTATCATTCTCCCTTCAAGCTGACCCCGAGTAGGAAGCATCATTGTATGGGAACAAAGTTTCAAGTCGTCATCATCTTGGGGATCCTTTGCCACAAACTGCTGGGCTCCCGAGAGGGGATTTTGAGGCTGGAATCTATGCTATGAGTAAGAAAACTTTTCAAAATTATTCGTTACAGTGGCAAATAAGACACAAATAAAAAGTAACCTATATGTACTGAATTTGAAATCCTACCAATTAATGCCACTGAAATTATACCATAGGGGTAAAAAAAAAAAAATAACTCATGCACAAATAATCAGTTTCACACCAATTACATGGTAATAATGAAGACATGAATTAAGGGAAATAATGGTTGTATGCATAGCAGTTTATTCTATTCGATGAATACTTTGGTGATCACAAAATGTATGGGCCTGTGCAAAAAATAACAATTGAAAGGAGGAAAAGTATAGAACTCTATTCAAACAAGTCAGAGCATGTTAAGTACAACTTTAAGTAGGTTCTGAACATATAAACATATACTTAACGCTTCAGTTAGAAAGCCTACCTAACCAATATGACAGATGTAATACATTTTCCAAGATAATGCTATATAGTGTAACAATTTAGTTACTGTTATTTTCTACTTACAATTCTCAGTACAGAACCTGAAATATAGTCACACTGTTTAAAATAGTTTTTCTCAATCTTTTTTCATTCACTAAATCTCAGCCTTCCTCTGGGGTATTCTACTTGCCCATTCATAGTCTCCATCATCACTGGGAGATAAGCCCCTGTTAGCTTTTGCTTAAGGCCAAACCTACAAGATTCTATAGTAAAGAGGGTTTGTCCCTGTATGAAGTTATATTATACAGACACTGTTATTTTCCATTTTCTAAGTTTAAAACTGTATTTTTTACCAAACATGCCTCTTTAAACCAAGTGTGCCTTTCTGGAGATACCAATGCCCTCCAGACTGAATAATGTGATTGACAAAAAAACAGAGCAAAGGTGGAAAGAAATAAATCTTTGTTGAGGTTAATCAATAAAGCTATTGATAACCAGTCAAACCAATGAAAGGGCTACTACGGGGAAACTTTTTTCCCTCGATAAAAACAAAAAGCGATTTACCTTAAAATATTTGTTAATTTTTTCTCAAATACCTTCATGACAAATGGCTCTAGGTCCTCTCCTTCCTCATTCCCAGGACTGGGCTCAGGACAAAACAAAATATAGGGCCCCATATTCAAAATTAAGAATTTCAAGATGCTGATAGAGCAGCAAACCAAGTGTAGGGCCTTCTGTACAGGATCCTGCCAGAGGCTTCTAAGCCACCTGAGCCCTTGGAACAGAGGTCCTCAATCTGAGAAACACTCATTCAAAAAAATTAAGAGGAGAAACAATAAAGGCACAGCTTTGACTAACTGAAAAATCATTAGGTACTAATGGTAACATATCAATATGTAATAAGAAATCATAAAAATTCTGATACCTAGGACTCATGATTTTTAAAACCCTTCTCCCCAAATCATACTCTGTCTTTTTTCAACTCTAATTCCAGCAGTTTAATATTCATTTAAAAACTCAGGCTAGCTTCATCACAACAGTACTTCAGTCAGTCATTTTCAAGATCTATTGGAGAACGACCTACATCAAATTTCTGACGAACAGAAGAAAGCTTTTTCTTTCCCTTGGGTTTTCCAGGTTTGGCTGCAGAACCCCCTGTCCAAGGCAAAGATCCGGCACACTCTATGAGACAGAAAAATAATAACCATAAGTGAAAATAATGACAATTGTCAACTACAAAGTTTGTTTTCATTCTGGACTAAAAAGCAGAGAATGAGTAAGAAATGAAAATAAATAACCCTAAATTCAAATCTTTTCTTTCTACTTCTCTACGCAAAATTTAAAACTCTCTCAAATCCTTTTTTTTCTAGCGGTAATCAAAATTTTTAGGAAGACAATTTTTTTTACGTTTTTAAATAATGTTTATTGAGTGTTTTGTTTAGTAGTATTAATGGTAGCTATAAACAGTCAGACAGAATTTTTCTAGGTTAAGATAATGAACTAAGCACAATTATTTACCTCCTCTCTCGTAAGACCCTACCAAAAATGAAAGTAGAGGAAGGTGAATGCCATACATCCACAACAAAGGTAAAAAGGAAAATGAATGGCAGACATGATGAGATCTCAACATGCTGCTATGGCGGACTACTTTTAGGGTGCTAACTTACAAAGCAGATGAATGGAAGCTATAACCTAGACTAGGCAATAAAGTGGCAAATGAGACCGATGCACATCAACCTGTCTGCCAGAAACCCACACAGAATCTGGATTTAGAGAACATGAGTACAGTGGAAACCATGAGGGATCAATAAAGCTAAAAATAAGATTAAAAAAAGGTCTACAGTCTTAAATCAACCACACTAACCCCTCTCCTCACTCCCAGGACTGGGCTCAGTACAAAATAAAGTGTAGGGACCCATGTTCAAAATTAATTATTTCAAGATGTTGATACAGCAGCAAACAAAGGGTAGGGGTCTGCTACACAGGCAAATCACCTGCTTTAAAAAGCTCTGTAAGAGAATTTGTAGCTACATAATAAAATTTTTCTTCTGGCAGTTCACACACCTATGACAGAAGCCCTCCTCACTCCCATACACAGAATGAATGACACAGAACAGGATATTTATAATAGGTGGGATGGGGATGGGGGATTGGAGAGTAAGAAAGGAGGATTCTACTCTAATTAACCTAAACAAAATTACCAAGATTTACTAAGGTAACTGGTATCAATGTTGGCACCCTAGAACAAAGCTCTCTACATACTGGTGTTTGTGGGACCCTCCCCTCCAGTTTAATCACTGGCTGTCAGCTCACACTAAAGCAAAGACTCAAGAGGTTCTTCATTCTTAAATACGAAAAGGGCAGCAATGAATCATAAGACATTTGATGATAATGCGTAACAGGACAAAAAAGCCCAACCTAAACAAACAAATAGAGGTTCTAGAGAGGAAATGCAGAAGGACTCTGATAAATTTCTAACCCAGTATCCTCACAAAAGTTTTGAGAAGATATGCATCTGTAAAACAAAAGGAGGATGCTATAAAAATTGCTTAATTAAAGAATACATTAAATAGAAAGGCTAAGTTAAGTGTTAATGAACCTCAAAGAACACAGAGCAGTAAAACAAAGAGACAGATGTCTAATATCAGTAAATCTAGAAACAGATTTAGGTAACTCTGAGGGGCTACTATGGAAGTCCCACCTGAAGCATAAAAAATAAAGGTAGCTGCCTTTGGGAATAGGTCTAGGAACAGGGGAAAAGATTTTTATCATAAAACGTTCTGTGCTGGCAGAGCCTGTGGCTCAGTGAGTAGGGCACCGGCCCCATATACTGAGGGTGGTGGGTTCGAACCCAGCCCCAGCCAAACTGCCACAAAAAAATAGCCGGGTGTTGCAGCTGATGCCTGTAGTCCCAGCTACTCAGGAGGCTGAGGTAAGAGAATCACCTAAGCCCAGGAGTTGGAGTTTGCTCTTGAGCTGTGAGGCCATAGCACTCTACAGAGGGTGACAAAGTGAGACTCTGTCTCTAAAAAAATAAATAAACATTCTGTGCTACTGATAAAAAAATGAACATGTATTATTTAATATAAAAACCAAATACATACTCATTACAGTACACTTAAAAATTTTTAAAAATGAAATGTTTAAGAATGAAAAGAAAAATCATCCATAATATTAATAAAATGTTACTATTATACCATTTGCATTTTAGGAAAGAAAAGTTTTTAAAGCTTTGAAAAAAATGCTCCAACTTCCTCAGTTAAAAAATAACTGGGAAGTCAAATTCCTTTTCTCCATCTTTGGCACACCCAGATCTCACTTGAGAAGGTCAGCCAATCTTAGATGACTTCCCAAAGAAATGTATTCCTGCTGACAAAAAAGCAGGCCTACCATGCAGAGGACGCTGCATAGGAGCAGGCCTGAGCACTCAGAGCTCACAAGCTGCTGCTGTGCAGTCAGGTGATTTGGGGGAGGAAGCAGAGCGAGGCAAGGACCACCTGACAAGGGGGAGGGCTTTCCAGGAACACTGAGATCTCAGTTTGATCTAGCGTATCAACTTACTAGCTGGACAAAGTTTCATCAAACAAATTCCTTTTCTCTTAAGTTTGTATCTTTATCCGTAAGAAGAAACCAACACCTACCCTACAGAATTGTGAAGATTAAAGATAATGCATGTAATGTGTCTAACATGTTACAGTCAATAAATATTATTAATATCTTTCCTGTCTAGCTTAGAAAAATAGCCCATCCAAAATTATTACGTTTAAAGAACTATATTTTCCTTTTAAAAAAATCACCTCTTTGTTCCTAGTAAATATTAATTTCATATAGAAGTTTTTGGTGTTTGACAGAGAAATATATTCTCAAATTCCAAATGAGATGTTTCTTCACTTATTTTTAAATAACCATTAACAGACATTCAAGAATATCAAAGGTTTTTACTTAATTAAAGCCACCTTTACTTATTAATAACACTTCATATTTGTTTGCCATTTTTTTTCTTTTAAAAGCACTTTTTTACAAGTTCTTTCTTCTGATTTTCCATAATCCTGTAGGGTAGATATTACTAAGCCTATTTTATAAATGTGAAAGCTAAGAATATCCAAGTAAGTAATTATATTACATAAACTAGTGGCAAAACTCTTTCAACCAGGGTTTTCATCTCTGACCTTCCACTTACCATGAGTATGGCACCACAATATACCTATCTACAAAGTAAGATCTAATCCTCAAAATGTTGGCTTTTCTGATCAAATTAGATTTTATACAACAAAGTAGGGCATAAAAAAGGTATGACTAAGGCCTACTTCTATTTAATTTAAATCTAGAACATCAAAACTCTGTTTTAATTTCTAGAACATCAAAACTCTGTTTTAATTAAACTTCTATTTAATTTAAATCTAGAACATCAAAACTCTAGTTTTAATCTAGAATATCAAAACCCTGGCCTGGTGGGAGAATGTGCAATGACAGGTATTAAGAGAAGCAGCCCCTGCTCTGTAACACCAAATCCCATAAACAAGCGCTTGCTGTTTACCCCACTTTATATCAATAATAACTTCTCTCAGGGTAGAAGAACTAGGTCTTAGGAAAACCAAAGTAAATTTTCAGCATATCGTAGAGGTTAGCAGAGAGGTATGATACAAAATACCAGCTATTACTAGATAAAACATGCATTCTGATATGTGATCATCAGAATCACCCAACGTCTTTAAAAAAAAATTCATTTCCAGCAGGAGATGGCTACAAATCTAAGTTTTCAACAGAGTCCAGGACAACTCATCATAAGGAAGGTTCTCAACATATTAAATTATTTTTTTTGAGTTGACTAATTAAAATAAGATGGTTGAAAGAGGTGATTTTTAACTTTATCTACCACTGAAGTGCCAAAAAGTTAGTGGCAAAGGAGTCAGTGTTTCTATTTATCCCTATTAAGGTTGTAGTGACAGGTTTGGTTTCCGCCCACCTCCCTAACATGAAACTATCCCCTACCAGTAATTCTCTACCAATAATCTAAACACACATTCTTTCTAAATCTCTAACCTTCCAGGCGCTGGTATCTTACCAGGTTTCCAACATACATTGTAGTCTTCCCTACACTAATTCATCTCTTTCTATCTAAGCAGTATCTTCTAGTACCAAGTATCCTCTCTTCATTTCCCTCACCACCTTCATCTTAACCTCCCACCCTCTTCCTCAATTCTCACTTATTTAAGTAATCTAAAATGTAGCTGAGTGAGGAGTAAAGATCAAAACTCAAAGTAAGTACAGGAAAATCACTGGTTTTAAGGTCTGTAAAAGAGTTTGTATCTGCATAATAAAATTATTCTTCTGGGCAGTTCAAAAACCATTTCATCTGCAAATACCAGATGTGTCAGGGAAAGCCAGAGTTCCTTGGTTTTGCTGGTGGACATGCAGAAGAAGTATTTTCATTTCCTTACCTGGTGTAGAAACCAAAATCTGACAACGCGTGAGAATGGCCAGAAGGAAATCGTTGTGAGAATGTACTGAAAAGGGAAGATTGCCACAAGTCAAATACAAGATGTTTTCATCATAAAGAAATCACTACTTTTACTCTAGCTTGTAAGAATTCCGCATGTCCCCTACTCTGCCATTCTTTATACTTAATTTTAATGTTCACATTATTAAGATGATCTCACATATCACCAAAACCACAATTTTATTTTTTATAAAATAAAAAAGCTTTACTTTATTGCACATCTGGGAAAACTTCAAAAGAGTAAAATAACTCCTTAATTATTTTACCATTATCCTGTGTAAGAAGTCTATGAGCTTCAAGGTCAAACTCTTCCTTACTGATCTTCTGCTTGAACCACAACTTCAAATTAGCCCAGTATCTGTAGAGGAAGAAACAAAATTAAGAACTACAGATTTGGCTTCTACCCCAAGTTCACCTTACATGCTCCAACTCCCACAGAAGAAAATTTTGCATTTCCTGGGGTTATGAACTGAATTATATCCCCGGTCCAAAATTCCTGTGTGTGTGTGTGTGTGTGTGTGTTAATTTTTTCTTGTCTGTCTGAGACAGAGCCTCACTTTCACCCTGGGTAGAGTGCCATGGCATCATAGCTCACAGTAACCTCAAACTCTTTGGCTCATGCCATCCTCTTGTCTCAGCTTCCCAAGTAGCTGGGACTACAGGCACCTGCTACCACACTCAGCTAGTTTTTCTGGGTTTTTTTAGTACAGACAGTTCTTGCTTTGCTCAGGCTGGTCTTGAACTCCTAAGCTCAAGCAATTCACCCACCTCGGCCTTCCAGAGTGCTAGGATTACCAGTGTGAACCACCACACCTAGTCCAAAGTTCATACATTAAAGCCATGACCCCAGTAGCTCAGAATGTGACTGTATTTGAAGACAAGGCCCTTAAAGAGGTAACTGAATCAAAATAAGGACATTAGGGTCAGCTCTAATCCAGTATGACTAGTGTCCTTATAAGAGGAGGAGATGAGGACAGAGACCCCAGACACAAGGCATATACAGAACCACCACCATATAAATGCACAATGAGAAGGCTGTCATCTGTGCCTCAAAAGAAACTAAAACTGTTAACACCCTGATCTCAGACATCTAGCCTCCAAAACTGTGATAAAATAAATTCTGTTGTATAAGCCCACCAATCGGTGGCATTTTGTTAGATCCAGCAAACTAATACACCTAGGAATTAGAAACAGAAAGCAAAGTCCTCCCCAAAAGAAGACCAGCAGGTATACGCAAAATTGGACTTACGATCTGCTTAGCAAAAACACAACTATAACTTTCCTTATTACAATCACCTTTCTAAAAGACCTACTCTCCAAAATCCTACATTTAAGATTTATATTTTAAAATGTGTCCATGTTTTACAGAGAGGGGAGGTCATTTATACTTAACTCTAGCTGGCATCTTTCCCTTCAGATGAACTCAATTTTTAATCTAACTGGATGAAGAAATGGATTTCTAAACATCCCACAGAAAGAATGCATCTATGGGCATGAGAAACTTACTGAGTTTTTTAAAGTGAAAACTATCACTTTAGTGAAAATTATCACAATAAAAAATACTGTGTAACTGGTTAAAATAAATTATCCTGCGGACGGCGCAGCAGCACCTGTGGCTCAAAGAGTAGGATGTTGGCCCCAGGGGTGGCAGGTTCAAACCCAGCCCCAGCCAAAAACTGCAATAAAAACCAAAAATGTTGTTATGCCTTAACAACATTCTTAGAAATAAGAGTAAAATACATGGTTTTCCACATGACATTCACAACCCTTGCTTCAGTCCTTGAGAAAGCTGTTTCGTCTTCATGGAACAGGACTAAAAATCAGTTATTTGTCCCGTCATTTTCAATTCAAACCCACTTATCACCTCTTATGCTCATTTGAGTTCCTAACAGGAAAAAAAAAAAAGTCAGGTTTCTAAATGAAATGGTTTAATACTCTCACTGCCTTCTTATATCCACAGCAGGACTTCGGTATGTGGATTAGCTTCAAATCACCTCAGTAAGTATCTCCGTATTTACTGACTACATATGTCTGTACTTGCATGCAAAGCTTTGGGTTCATGTGCTTGCTTTTTTTTTTTTTTTTTCCAAGGGAACACCCACAGCTTTCATGGAGCCTTAAATGGCCCCAAACCCACGACACTGCCACCTTTCAGGCCCATTTCACTCAATAGCAAAACACTTGTAGAGGTCCAGAGCTTGGCACCCCTACCACCTGATATTCACACACATTAGTCAACAGGTCAACAGCAATTTCCAAACAATGGATGCTTTCATACTTTTTTTTAAAAGACCAGGAATAATGTGAAATGAAATAAAACTCTACAAAAAAATAAGTTTTTTCCTACTTCATTGTATCCAACAAGAGGATAGATAATAAACTTTATTATTTATAAGCCTGGTGTTGGCCGTGGCCAACACCAGCGCCGCCTCTAGCTTGCCGAACTCCAGCCTTAGAAGGGGGTCTAAGTAACGTAGCTAGTACAAAGCAGCCTGCCCAGAAATTCACCAGAGGTGAAGCACCCAGGAAGCAACTGGCTACAAAAGCCACTGACAAGAGTGCGCCCTCTACTGGACGGGTGAAGAAACCTCGTCGCTACAGGCCTAGTACTGTACAGACACTCCGAGAATTTAGACCCAGCGCCATTGAACTTCTAATTTCCAAACTTCCATTCCAGCGTCTGGTGTGAGAAATTGCTCGGGACTTTAAGACAGATCTGAACTTCCAGAGTGCTGAAAGGAGGCAATGAGGACTACCTGGTTGGCCTTTTTGAAGACACCAACCTGTGTGCTATCCTCGCCAAATGTATAACAATTATGCCAAAAAACAGCTAGAAAACCATATAAGTGGAGAACGTGCTTACGAGTCCACTATGATGGAAGAACATTTCATTATAAAAACAAAATTCTCTTCTTCCTCTTATGGTAGTTCTGAACGTTAGATTCCCCCTACCCACCCACCCCATGGGGTCAAAATATGATTGTGTCTAGAAAAACAGGGGACAGAAATCAGGTATTGGCAGTTTTTTCATTTTCATTTGTATGTGAATTTTTAATATAAAAGCAGGGATGTGCAGCATTAATGCAAGTCAAAATTTTTCAGTGAAAAGTTTCAGCAGTTCAAATTTACAACAATTATAAATAAACCTGTTAAATTTTTCTGGACAATGCCAGCATTTGGATTTTTTTAAAACAAGTACATTTCTCATTGAGGGCAACTAAATGGTGTTTGTAGCATTTTTATCACAGAGTAGATTCCATCCATTCACTATACTTTCCTGAGTTGTCCTACATGCAAGTATATGTTTTTAATGTTGTCTATCTTCTGTGCTGTTCCTGGAAGTTTGCTATAAAAATACATTAAACTATGAAAAAAATTAAAAATTAAAAATAAACAAAAGCCCTGTGTCACTATTTTACCAGATGCTAATGGTAACCATATTTAGAATAGTGACTTGTTCTAGAACTAAGGCAAGGCTGTACTACGAAGCTCTCCAAAATGACACTACATGGGTCACTATGAAAGTTTTGAGACAGACTGTGTCCATTATTTCACTTCCACAAAACACAGTTTAGAGTGTCCTTTCTGATTCACTACGCAAGTGTCAACTTGCTCAGCATATCAGTGCTGCTGGGCAGGCTTCATTTGTTTCCATGTGTGTGAATTTTACATTTCATGATTTTTGTGTATCTCAAAACTTTTGTAATGGCCCACAAATCACTCTCCTCCAATGGCAAACTTTCTAGCCCAAATATCCAGAACTGGCTACCAGAGTTAAGAATGCTTGTTCCCTAATCCTGGTCTCTTCGTTAGCTCACAGTATAACCAGACAAATAACTATTGCCCTTGGCAATACCAAAAGCAAAATTAGTCAGTCTCTATGAAGGTAAGGATGGTGGGTGAGCAGCATGAGTCAGAACAGGAAGCATTGGAGATAACCTAGAGAAAACTAGAAAACATGACCAAGACCTCAAAAAAATTAAATAACTATTTGAACATGACACTTTACTGGATATTAACACAAAGTGTGTTGGCTAGCAAAGCCTGGGTCTTTGTAGAAGCTGATATGAACAGACAACTTGACCCAGTGAGACATAAAAGGCACTTGGACTACTAGATAAACAGCAAATAACTCATACTAGGCTTCTTGTATAACCTTATGTTTTACCTACCACCAAGGACCACATTTACATGGAAAGGTTGTATACACCAAACCAAACCAAAGTGCTCATGAAGGCAATGTGAGAAATGACTGTACAGTATAGCAGTATTACACACTATTTAACAAAGAGGCACTTTTTAAGGAGCAGAAGGGGCAAAGGACAATGAGAGAATGGAAAAACAAATATAGAACAATACTGTTCCAGGCACACAAACCTCTTTTGATTTCACTGCTAGTGGGTATTCATGCCACAAATGCACCAAATTTAAGGTCAGCTTGGTATTTTGACCAACATCAGAAAGTCTATACTGGCCTTTAAAAAGTGAGTAAGGTTACATTGATAGCATTTATTTGCTTGGTTTGGATGTGTTTGGGGGCATTTTCTACATTTTAATCTTCCATTGCAAAAAAAGAGAAACAAGGAATGCTAACTCTTGAAAATACTTCTGGCAGCCCTGAACCTGTGTGTAATTGAGTGTAGGATCACAGAGGTCACCACTACATCTAATCAGGATTAAAGTCAATTATCACACAAGCATGGTCCTTAAGATTTACTGTAGTGTATACAGTTCACTTTCAGACATCTGCAAGTATACTAGACGGAATTGAGTGAAAAGTCTCACATCATACTTTAAAAAAATGTGAATGTTATCAGTACTACAAAAGCAAAAAGCTGTATGTAACAGGTAAAAGCTGGCAATTTTACCTATTAAAATGATCGGGAATTTTTAATTCAATGCACAAATAACAGACTGACAGTAAACAGGAATATAAAAAGATATTAAGTGGAGGTGGCTCTGTGGCACCATGGATAGCTGGATAGTGCACTGGACTTTTCTAGTGATGAAAAGATACTAAGTGCGCTATTCTCTCTTTAGAAGTCAATAAATGTTTACCAAATATTAAATAATTATGCTATAAAAACAGATTAGAGTTAATTCCAGTTTTGTATAAATGTGATTTATTACTATTTTATTGGGATGAAAAGCAGACTGTCAAATCTGCCACCCCCAAATTTTGCATGAAGGAAAAACTCCAAAATCACCTGACATCCAAGCTAAATAACTTTATCCAGTCATACCAAAGAACAGAGAAAGATAAAAAGAAGAAAAGTGTTGGAGAAAATAAAGTATCCTCAAATACCTTGCTTCTCTACCATCATTTAAAAGTATTTATCTATTGAGAAATACAAATAGCTAGAATACCACAGAAGCCACACAGCAACAATAACATAGGCACTATAATTTTAAATGCTTCAAATTTGCTTCCTACATTTTTGAAAAATGAAGTTTTAATGGTATTCTGAAAATTTCCAAATTTGTCCTAGTATCTCAGAGTTTCTTCTATGACATTATTTGGCTTATGCCTTCGCTGAATGCTCATTTTACCCTCAGCCATTCGGCGTCTGCCCTGTGTACCAGGGCCTGAGCCCAGCTCAAACTGTGACTGGGCCTCTCTGGGATTCTTTACAACCCCTGTAAGACATAAGCTGGGAATCAGAAGCGTGGATCCCCATCCTAGCAGTGGCTTTTAAAGAGTTCCTTAACCTAACTACGGTAGGTCTCAGTCTTCCCATCCATCCAATGGGAATAATAACTGTACCAATCTTATACCTGCTGTGACGATTAGACTTTAAAGGTGTTTAACTATTCCCTACTGTTTTCGCCACTGTAATTGTCCTGGTGTCCGACGACTGTTATTTTACAAGAGGGTCCGTAGGTCTCCAAAATTCCTGTCAAAGATAGAGCTTACTAATGTCTGGCAAATCACACGGGCTCAGTAAGCCTCCGCCTCCAGGAAGCCCTCCAGGGGCAGACACTCTCCCGCCCGGCGCGGCGCACTTCGCGCTTCGGCTCTCTCAGCCCCTCGGCCGGCCTCACGCGTCCAGCCGCCCGGGGGCCTGGACCTGCTCATCAGGCCCTCGGGCGTGAAGCTGCGCTTCTCCAGCCCCATCCAGGTCAGAGAGTCCCAGGCAAAGGCGCCCGCCCATGTCCCCAGGACGCCAAGGAGGCCCGGCCCCTCCGGCATGAGAGTCGCGGTTGCCCGCCCCGCCCCGGCCGGAGAAAAGCTGAGGCCCCGCCGCCGCGGATGCGAAGACGCACAGGCCTCGGGCTGGTGGCAGCCCGAGGGCTGGAGAACACGCGCGTGTCGGCCTGGAGGCTGCGCTGGGGCGGCTCTTACTGTTTCACGTTGTCCCCCAGGGCCTCGCTCAAGTTCTTCTTGGCCGCCTCCAGCTCGCTCACAAAGGTCGCCATTGCTCCGCGCGTCTCAGCCCGACCGCGGACCGCCAAGCCGCGGCGATCAACAACCGAAAAACCAACTCAGGGGTAGGCCGTGCCTCTGGAAGCTAAGACCGCTCCCGTCGGCCCCACCCACAACCGCTCAGAGGACGTTTGTTTGGTTTTCGGCTCCGCCCGCCTTTTTGTGGAGACCGTGCTGGGACAAACTCTATTCTCTTCCTCCCGCCCCTCGAGTCACGTGACCTGCTTCACCTCTCCGCGCGCCCAACCTAAACCCGCGCGCCCCGCCCCAGCTGCAGCGTCGCCTGCAGGGCTGGCGCATCCCGCTTCTGTCCCTGTGTTACCCGCTCGGCCAGTAACGACTTCAGGTCTCTGTGCTTCCACCTGGAGGACTACCTTTCCCCTCCAGGTCAAAAAGTAGATGCAATATCACTTTTATTCTCTCGCCTTATTTTTTTCCTGAGTGCTAATTGTCCAGTGTGTTGTTTAAATGATCGATTTTTGTTAATTTTCTGACTCGAAGACTGGAGTTGTATTTTATTCACTATTTGCCCCAGTTCCTAGAAGAGGGCCTAACACAAAGTAGACCCTCAAAAAATACTGTATTTGCTGTGTAAATTAAGTAATAGTAAAAATTAGGAAAATAGAAGGATAAAGACAAAAGAAAGAAAACGTATTTTACTACCCTCAGACAAACCCTTTTAACTGAGATTTTTACCTTTCCCCATCACCTTCCCTATAACTTAGAACCATATTCTATGTTCAATTTCACATCTTTTTTAACTTGGAAGTATTTTCCTGTAGTGTAACACTGTCTTTATACTCATAATTTTAATGACAGCATATTAAACACCCCCACAGAAAGAATGTAGACCATAACTTTTTCCCAGTTGTTAGACTGATGGTTTCCATTTTTCTCCATTAAAAACAAAACTATAATAAACTTTCTATGCCTAAAGCTTGTCCTCCTTTTAAGATTATTTCTTTAGGATAGAGTCTCACAAATACAATTACTGGTTCAAATGATAGGAATATTTATAGATGCCTTGGTGCATGCTGTCAAATTGCTTCTCTCAAATGTAAAATAATCCCAAATGGCTTTTAAGTCTTGTGTGATTTTCTCTCACGGTCTTCTTCAGTTCTCTTCATTTCTTCAACTTCATCCTGAGCATCCTATCTAAACCTGATGCAGGGTTGCTTCATTCAGAGTTGGACAGGAACCCGGGTTTCCTAGGCCTGGGCAATGTCATGTAAATTAGACCTCTTCTGAAGTGGACTCCCAGCCTTTTTCCTGAGACCTGGAGGGATTGTATTCATTTGTTAATACACTCATCAACAGTGAAAAGGTGTCTTCTGCCCAGTCCTGGCCAAGTGTATACAGACCTTGTATCCCCTAGACAAAAAGACCCAGCCAGACTTCCCACTTGGGTCTTCCTCCTCTGCCAGAAGCTCTGGTGCTTTTGATACCTTCTGTGTTCCTTTCTATTTAATAAATCCTATCTTACCACAGATCTCTGTGGTCTGTGGGTTCATTCTTCAAATCTTGACCAAGAACCTACTGCAGAAAGAAATTCTGCCAGCAACCCCATCAGCCCAGGCTGACTGGGCACCACCTCTTCACTTGCACTGAATTCACAGGGCGAGCTCCTATTTTGTGCCTGGCATTCTTTAGGTGCTGGGGATACAACAGTAATTGAGGCAGGTTAAGTCTTCCTCTCCCTGACAGAGCCCCAGAGAATCTGTCACTCTTTTAAAAATTGTGTTTTGTTTTGTAATCATTTAAACTTCTGTGGTTCCCTGCTGTCTATGGGACAAATTCCAGACTCCTCCGCGCACATACATGCACCTTGGCCTCCCTCCATAACCCCCACACTTGGGCTCTAGACTCTAGTTACTTGACTTTCTATACCAAACGAGATGGCTCAGTCTTTTCATATATCTCCTCTCTGCTGATTTTGAGACTGATGGGTGGCTACCTTTGTATTTCTTTTTTCAGTCAGGTTACGTGTGAACCTACTAAAGGATCAATTTAACAGGACTAGGAAAGGGCACAAATGTTTGGGTATATATTCCAGGAATATATCATGATCTCTTGTTTCTGCCTAGCCACTAAGAAAAGTAGGCCTCGGCTCAGCACTTGTAGCTCAGTGGCTAGGGTGCTAGCCACATGCACCAGAGCTGGCTGGTTTGAACCCAGCCCAGGCCTGCCAAACAACAATGACAACTAAAACAACAAAAAAATAGCCAAGCATTGCGGCGGGCGCCTGTAGCCCCAGCTACTTGGGAGGCTGAGGCAAGAGAATCGCTTAAGCCCAAGAGTTTGAGGTTGCTGTGAGCTGTGACAGCACTGCACTCTATCAAAAATGACATAGTGAGACTCTGTCTCAAAAAAAAAAAAAGAAAAGAAAAGTAGGCCTCAAAGATTTTCCATACTTGACAACAGTCATAACTCTATATGTCTAGCTCAATTAAATATTCTTTTCTCTCTCAGCACTATATATGTCTATTAGCACTAATTTTAGTGTATTCAGTTAAATTTCCATTTAAACTGTAGTGTTAAATAATATAATATGTACAAATGGACATCTGGCCAAACAAGGTAGTCCTTAATAAAAATGAATACCAAAACCACCTGTAATTTGGTAGTTTACTTTAAAGAAACTAATTCTAAATCTTCTTTTAGTTATAGCAATACTTGTATGATGCATACCACAACTATTATATTAAATATGTTCAGAGAATGTGTATCAGAGTGCCTTACAAAATGTAGAGAACTTGACAAATGTTAGTTTAGTGTTTTGTTTTCTGATCTATTTTTTGGATCATCCTGTAGCTGGTGGTAAGCTGACTTGAGGATAACTCAATATGACATTGAGAACAGACATTCTCTGGGGACCCAAGCTTCCCTAGTATCTAAGCATTTATGACAACTACTCATAAATATGTATATGTATATGTATAAATATATATTCATGTATTCTCCATATATATAACATAAAATTTTCCATTATTTATATTATTCATATCTTTTCCATTTCATTAGATGGATAACTAAAGGTTGATGGTATTATTCATATATATTGCCTATTTTTATGTAACTTCTTTCCCTTATAAATAGTATAACAAGGAAACCCCTCCAAAAATTTTATTTTCACAGTGTTTTACTTAAATATTCATGAAAATGTGGCTTCTCCCTCCTTTATTCTTCCAATTCTGTATTTTTTAAAGCACTAGTTTGGGGGCAGTAAGATCCTTTGTGATAATTTTTTGTGGAATAACATGACTTAACAAACTTTTAAGTATTTAATACATTATTGCTGACTGCAGGTATCATGTTGTAAGGCAGATCTCCAGACCCCACTCATCTCACTTAATTGAAACTATGATCAATAATACCTACATCTCCTCTCACCAGCCTCTGGTAACTACTGTTTCTCTCTTTGATTCTACCAATGTGGTTATCTTAGATAGCTATATAAGTAGAATCATGCAGTAGTGTTTATCTTTCTTCAACTGGTTTATTTCCCTTAGTATAATGTCTTAGGGTTCATCCTTGTTAACATGTATTGCAGAATTTCCTTCCTTTTTAAAGGCAAATAGTATTCCATCATATATATATATATATATATGAAGGAATGCCTGGAAAGTATCCATCCACGTAATATGAAAAATAGTATGAACAGTGGGCTGGATACTTTCCGGACAGCCCTCATATACCGCATTTTCTTTACCTGTTCATCTGTCTGTGATTATTTAGTGCTACAATGAATATAGAAGTGCTAATATTGCTTCAAGATCCTGATTTCAATTCTTTTGGATAAATACTCAGAAGTAGGGCTTGGCGCCCACAGCTCACTGACTAAGCTGCCAGCCATATACACCTCGAGGCTGGCAGGTTTCAGCCTGGCCCAGGCCTGCTAAACAATGACAACTGCAACCAAAAAAATAGCTGGGCATTGTGACAATCGCCTGTAGTCCCAGCTACTTGGGAGGTGAGGTAAGAGAATGAGGCAAGAGAATCGCTTAAGCCCAAGAGTTTGAGGTTGCTGTGAGCTGTGATGCCACAGCACTCTACTGAGGGTGACATAGTGAGAGACTCTGTCTCAAAAAAAAAAAAAAAACTACTCAGAAGTAGGATTGCTGGATCATGCAATAATTCTATTTTAAATATTTTGAGAAACCTTTACCCTGTTTCCCATAGTGGCTACATTCCCACCAACAGTGTATAAGGGTTCCAATTTCTTCCCATCCTGACCAACACTTGTTGTCTTTTCTTGGCATTAGAATTTATATTGATTGAGTTTTGATGTGGTGTTCTGCCTCTGAGGATTCTCTAATTATTGTTCTGTCTTTATACAGATTTGCTATTTAGTTTCTTTAGCTCTTATTATAAATAACTGATGCCTGCTTTAAAATGGCTAGGGCCTACCATAGCAGAAATATTTGATTGACTTTCTTATTCCACTTACCCATTAGCATAATAGACTCATTACCCTTTTTCTCTAAACATTGTCAGCAAATATGTGAGTTGATTCCACTTTAGACATCAGTAGCTCTGCTTTACTATTAATAGAAGAACTCTTAGAGTTCAGCTTCAAAATATTATTAATAACATTTTTAATTTCCTTGTTGAATTTACCATTATAACAGTTGCTGTAATTTTTAATACTGATATGGTATACTATATACATAAGGTACATGCATATGGTAACTATGCATATAGTACCTATACATATGGTTCTGCTATGGTACATAGTGGCTTACACTCAACATAGATGTCTGCTAGAATTAAATATTTAGAAAATTCTATGTAATGTTTCCTCACCATTTATATCTATACCAATCTATAGAGTTTAATGTAGTTTAAGGTAATAAGTTTAGAATATATTAGGCTCTAGTAAAATTTATGGTTAAAAACAAGCTGAGAGTCATCTTGACACCTCATATATTTCTTTTATGACTACCAGAAGAAGCAGAGGAGATTCATTCTTATTCTCTCTTTTTTAAGATACTAAGTGAAACATCACAAGAATGTAGAAACAAACACATGTATTCAATACCATATTAGAAATAATGAATCACCCTTATGTGCACACATGAAAGTGAGTTTCAATGAAAATCAAGCTGTGGGAAAGGGGAAGGAGGAGGAGGGCATGGGTAAATTCACAGCTATCAGGCACAGTGCACATCGTCTGGG